TATATATATATATAAAATATTCTGTAACTTACTAGGGAAGTTTGAAATACAAAGACTCTAATTTCTCACCGTCTTGGCATTCTTACATCTATAGTCTTGACTGATGAGAGCAGCTCTGTGAATTTTGGCACTTGCCAATGATGAAGTTATCGTTCTACAGGCGTTTCTCAATGTGAAGATTGAGCTTCACGTTATTCATGCTTCACAATTCATGGTTGAAAACAAGTAGTTGATTCTGTCTGCAAAACTGTCAATGCAGCTTCCTTTATGAAGCTAAGCTATGATAGTTAAAAATATGATTTTTTTCTTGTTTTCATTTTAGTAGCGCATGTTTATGATTCAAAAGGGAAAAGGATTCCTGTTATTTATTATGTAAGTGGAAAATTAGGATAAAAAAGGAAGATACTTCTTGGAGCAATGCTTTTTGTACCCATTGATTAATTTGACTGCAACTGTTCTGGGATTCCACCCTGAGAAACAGGTCTGACTTACCTTTTACTGACTTTTGAAATTGGAAATCATGGAACAAGAATATTTGAACACCCAGATTAATATATCTTTGTAATGGGAGTGATTTTAAAATTATATTTTTCAGAGACCCTGGTTAAAAATAGCCTGTTTAGTCTTCTGATGTTAAAAATTTTTCTTAGGGAAAGTGTATTAGTTGTTGTATTGTTGGTTTTTTTTCCTCGCACATCATATTATTTTCTTTATGGCCATTTTAGTATAGAGTCATAAACACATCTTCAAAAGGGCTTCTTACGTGCTCTGTTGAATAGAGGGTATGATAAAAAGAAGTTTTTCATAATAATGATTTTTTTAAGTTTCTCACAAAATCCAAGTTATCAGTGTGCACATTTTTCCAGTTCTCTTTGTCTATATTTCCCTATTCTACTTGTCCAACAACAGCATTTGGATATTATTTCCTAGTATAAAATACATAAATTACAGCAAGAGACTTAAGATGATGAGACACTTTCCACATACCTTAGTTAAATTTAGTGGAGATAGTTCCTTATAGTGCACATCAGGTACCAGATAAACCGTTCAAGTATTGATTGTTTTTCTCCCGATACTCATTGCATTTACCAGAAAAAGAATTAAATTTTTTTTTTTTCACTGCAATATAAGACTTTAACAACTCAAGATTACCTTTCTGTAATTTGTACTAGTTAGTTACTGTCACTAAATATTCATGAATTTTTCAGGAAACTACCAGAAAATGAATTGCCTTTAGCACAAGATGATCTGATATTTCTAATGGTTTCACTACAGAATGTTTCAGGGTGTCATTAGTGTGCTTCAGCAGCATGAGATCCTGCAGAGAACTGAGCAGCTTTACTTGAATTTGAAATAATGCTAAATTACTAATAAGGTTTTTACTTAAGTGGTGTGGAAATAAAAAAAAGCAAATTAATACAATTATTCAGCTCTATATGTTGTCATAATCTCTTTAAAGTGCTTGTAAATAATAACAGAAAAAATTGGGTACAGTGGATGCTCACTATTCCAACTGTCAGTAAGTTTTTTTTCCAGTGATTTTTGTGGGAGCACTTTGAAAACTAGCCCTATGGATCTCTATTGTGGCAACGTCCTCCTGAAATTTAGTGGAATTCTCTTGAATATGGACCAAATAATACATTTGGCTGCTGGCCATGTGCTGTCTTTCAGAGGAATATGGTTGTTTGCTAAGTAATAGTGTAGGAAGAAAGGAGACATATGGAAGCAAACTTTAAAAGATACAGTAACATTAGTGAATGAAGTTTTAACCACTCAAGTTGCCAAGCACTTCACGCAGTCATGAAGTGAAAAATAAATTCTGAAGCCCACGAGCCAGGCACTTAGCATGCAAAAGTGCTGTTCTTACAGAAAATAAGCAGTCAACTTCAACTGAAAGCTGAATCACACTAACAGTTCTTGAAGTTTGATTTATTGCTTGCTTTTGCTGCTGCTATTAATAAAAGCACAATAATATGTACAACCTACATTAAAACTGTATTTAATCGCAACCTTGGAAATATGTTTGTCCTTTCAGTTGACTATAAACACTAGACCAGCGTGTCTCTGGCCCTTTTTCCTTAAATTTCATTATGAAATATGCAATATAATTCTGTGTATTTTCCTATTGCATCTTAATAAAGTAATGCCTTTTCAAGTAGCTGTCATATTTCTCTAAATAAACAACATATTTATATTAACCTAAATGCCAAAGTAGCAAAAATAGTGACTGTAAAATTGATGCCTTCAAGTGTAAATGGAAGATATATAGAGGTATTTGCGTGAAAAATACAGATTAGTACAACAATTCTTTTGCCAGTTCAAAAACTGTATTGGGTAGAGCTTTGCAAAATATTCTATGTCCATTCTCTCTAGATGAGTCATGCTTTTGGAAGAAGGGGGAGAGAATATTTTTTCAGCATCATGATCATTGTAATAACGAACTGCAGAAACTATAATAGATTTTGTTCCTGGCTTGGCAAACTATCTAAAAGATTTTGCAAGAGAGTTTACATAATTCTTTCCATTAAACTTTCTAGTATTGCATATGTTTTAATTGTTCACTCAGACACACCAATCTTTTAGGTACTTTGTAGACTATATAAACGTGGCTTAATGTTTCGCAAGTATTTTATGAGCAGAGTTTGTGGTTATACATTTTCATACTTACAACCTTAATTCACTTGTTAAAATAGGCTCTCTGTTTGCTAATAGTTACCAGCTGTAGCTAATACATTAGCAGATCTACAATGTAGTATTTAAAATGACGCATTTCGAAATCAATAACAAATGTCCTGCTATAGGATTAATTGAAAATTTGTCTTACACAACGGTCAGTACACTATACAAAATTCTTTTGAAATTACTATAAATCAAGGAATAGGAAACAATGATTTGTAAATTTCTAAAAACTTAGAAATAGGAAAAGCAAAAATATTACTTACTGTAGTTGTTGTTTGCTTCTCTTGTCCCTTTTACTTTGCCTCGCTTATCAATCCTCATATACCACTGAGTTCGACAGAAAAGTCTTCTCACTCTTACATCCCCCCCTTCCATATAATCATAGCTTCTGGTATGTCGCTCAGGGCTGGAACAGTTCACATTTGTAGCCATTTGCTCTGGAGTCATGTCATTGCAAGCTAAAGATATAGTGCCCATTAGAAAGATAATGTAAAAGTATGATCTGTAGAGCAAAATTGGCAGGATCCATGTCAGTATCCATTTGTGCATTATAGTGCAGTGTTCTGGGTGTTCATGAACAACATAATGAAAATTAAATCTCAAGTAGACTGTTGCTCTTAGGTCACCGACCTGCCTTCTGTCTTTACGAGTTACAGATTCATTTAAATGAGATCATTCCCTCTTCTAGAATCCTGATCGTTATTCCTTAATAGTTAATGGTGAAATAGAAGAGCTTCTTAAATATCTCTTCAGTCAGAATATCCTTTAAAGACACAAGTTATAAAACCTTTTGTTGTCGTGACCTTCTGTACTACTTGAATTTGCTGCTTGCACTGGAAGTAAAAGATCTGTGAGAAAAGGTGCATGTATAAGTCTTTATGCTCAATTGTTACAAACGTGCAAGGATACATTATGCTACTGAAAAGTACTATGTACGGCATGCTAAGCTGATTTTTTTAAAATATGCAAATGTATATACAATAGATATCTCTCACACAACTTTTTGTATAAACAGACATTTAAACTGATTGTAAACACAGTTCTGTCTTCAGTTTTAAGTCCTTTAAAAAAATCCCTTATTGATTCAGTTGAACTACTTTCTCATGCATAGTAAAAATCTGCTGATTACTTCATATCTATATATTCACTGTTAGCACAATCTATCAGATAACTTTTCTCTAGTTCAAATTTCAAAACAGATCTCGTAGTCTTACCCTTGTATTTTTATTCCTACCCTTTTGAGTTTGTTAATAGAAATAGTTCTCTTAATGCTTTTTTAGCATCTAGCATATACAAAAGAAGATAAAAGTTATTAGCTATTAGAAACTGTTGAATGTTGTTGTAAAGGACAGATAACTTACTTGTTCCTGTTGATAAGAGCTGGATACTCAAGTACTCCATTTCTGTTGTCTGCTTTTTGCAACATGAGACACTGTACTGTAGCTACAAACTTTCTCAGCTCAGAAAGACTCCACTGGAATTATAATTGTTTCCATAAATCAACGCGCTGGAGAGATGGTGTGTGTATGTGCTTATGCGTGCGCGTGCATGTGTGTTGAGCCTGTTGTTCAGTCCTTTTCGATAAATACCTTTGCTGACCTCACTTGGAAGCAATTAGAATTTAACCAGTCAGCTGTCAGTTGAGTGCACGAAATAAAAAGAGACTTGTATTGTATCGTGTCCAATGGTCATCAGAGGGAGCTATGTACATAGTTTATACTTTAAATCTCCAAGAATCTACTTTCTAAAAACATATATTCCGTGGTGTGTGGATAGAATTGCTTCGCATGCTAGCTAGCGTTTCTGTGCTTTGATTTAGGTCAGCGTTTTTATGTCCTTAAAAAATTCCTCCTTCTCTCTTTTGTACTCACACGCTTATCTCAGTTTGCTTTCAGATCTCTTCTGCAGTTTGGTGGATTCACAGTCTACTTAATGCCTTTCTGATGGATATAGGAAACATGTGGGTCCATTATGTATTGTGGAGAAGAGTGTGCTGTGGCCATTATAGATCATGCAGTATATTTTTATATAACAGCCTTGAAAAGGGGAACAACTGCACTGAGGTTTTTATTTGATCAGCCACTAGGTGCAAATGAGAGCGTATAATTGGATGTTTCGAAGTCTTGACATTCAAACACAACCTTTCTAAGCATGAAGGAATAGTTACTACTAGGGAACAGCTTTCCTTAGCATACGTAGTTACTAGTTCTTGAACCTCACAACGCGAGAATGAAAAGTGACAGCAATGCAAGAGAAACCCTTGTACTGCATACCAACCAATGGGTGACCAGCAGGCTTAAAATACAGAGAATGAAAACAACGGGTAGATATGCCTGGTTTTCTGCTTCTGTGTGCTTATTTCCATCTTTGGCACCAGTATGCTATCTAAAGTCCATGTTCCATTTCACCCTTAGATTCCCTGGAGTTTCTGGTGAATGTATTTGTAAAACATACTGAAGCTGTTTTCAGTAGCTCCTTAACCTGTTTAATTTCCGCACTGTTGATGTGAATACACCTCAGACCCTTTAGTAAATAATAGCAACAAGGAAAGATTGAAATTAATCCACGTATTAAGAAATGTTTACTTACCTTTAGTTGTCTATACTTGATAATATTAATGCAGTTTATCATTCCCTGCTTTTATCCCACCCCAACTCCTTCCTTTCTGAAGAAACCGGTAACAGTTCTTCAAAAAGTAAACTGCCAAAGCAGTTGAAAGTCATGGGGAGTACATATGTGCCACCTTGTGGTGAGGGGGACATAAGTAAATAGGGAGTTTTCACTGGAATGATCCAAAATGAACATAAAGGTGTATGGCACCAGGCAACCTTGTATTACTCAGCCTTTCCTATACACAAACTCAGAGAATGAGTCATTTCCTTCCCTAACATCTTCCCTAACTTCTTTCTCAGTGCTCACTTGGATTATTCCCATTTGTCACATGCTTTGCATTCTTTTTTTTTAACTGTTTTCCCTCAAAGTCCAAAGTAGATCAACTTTTCTTGTTGTTATCTCCATTTCAGCATATTGGGCTGTTCCTCATGTTCCATGGCTCAGCCTAGTTGTCCTAGTTCAGCAAAAGGCTCAACATAAGCACCTCTATGACATGAAAGGTATGGTGCTTAGGGCTTTCAAGCGCTGGATGCCTGCAGTAGATACACAAAGAGGAGTCTTTCATTAAGTTAACCCTTGTAAACTCTGGTTACAGCTATTTCCATTTTGACTTGTATCTTCTCAACCCATGACCACCGTTCTGACAGGAAGTGGGTACTGATTTATCTGAGTTGCAGTGTTTGCTAGTACCTTCGCCGGATTTATATCCGTATGTTCTCTGATCCATTCCACAGTCTGAATTCAGAATGATAGCAATGAAAACAATTTGTGGTATTCAAAAGGCTTATCTGTTGTGCATTATAAAGAAAGCAATGGAGGATAAAAGGTGATCTGTGTTTTACTCAGCAAAATAGGATGCAAGTAGAAATGTTTCTGTGAATATTCTGAGTCTGTTATGTGCAGTACCAGCTTTCACTTTCGCATCCATACTGGTTTTAATTTTTCTTTTTCCTTGCTAACTTAATGTTTCTGACAGTTAGTCACAGGAGAAAAAATACATACCTATGGTTTTGGTTCCAGAAAGCTGGAGCTACTCATAGTCCAGGCATAGGCGAGTATTTCTCTTGGCTCTGAAAAAAACTTTATGAAGTTTTGTGTTTAGAATAAATTAAAAGCAGTTTAAATTAGGCACTAGCTGTAAGTTTAGTCAGTGAAAAATATAGTTGATCTTTAATTACTGCTGATAACTTTCTTATCTTTACATTTTCTAAGTATAGAATAACTTTTTTCCACAATGCTTTAACTGCAGTTTTATTTAATCACAGTTTTATGTCTTGCTATACACTGAGTACAACCGCTTATTTTTTAATGAAAGGGCATTATCTTGATCTGCACATACAAGTCAGATTGCTTTGCATAAATCTCTGACCCCTTGAATGATCCCACCCACTTCTGTTTAAAGTTGTCCGCCTAGAATGCTAGTGATTTTACATTTCTTTGGTGAGATTGTATTTGAAGAAATGTGTGAAGGTATCAGGACCACATGAAACATGAAAATTTGCAAAATACACATGCTGTAAGCCATCCTTTAGCATAAAGGGGGCAGGTTTAAATATTAACCCATACATTGGTTCCTGCTTGGATAGACAGTTGTCCACAGCTTTGCTACAGTGCACATGCTGAAAAGAAGGAGAGGAAAAAAAAAAAGTGGAAATTAATTGCAAGTACTTTGCTTCCAATTATGAAAATTGTGTATAGGCCTCCAGTTCAACTATTCCCGTTTCCCTTACATATGAAATTACTTTTTGTCCGTTCAAATGAAAACATGGCTATAGGGATCCATGCTTTCCTCATCTCCTGGCTGGCCTGTTGTAATGCATACTGCCCAGGTTTGGTTATTGCAGCCTTCTAGTACTTAAAGGGGGCCTACCGGAAAGCTGGAGAGGGACTTTTTACAAGGACATGTAGTGATAGGGCAAGGGGCAATGGCTTTAAATTGAAAGAGGGGAGATTTACATCAGATATAAGGAAGAAATTTTTCACTCAGAGGGTGGTGAGGCACTGGAACAGGTTGCCCAGAGAAGTTGTAGATGTCCCATCCCTGGAAGTGTTCAAGGTCAGGTTGGATGAGGCTTTGGGCAACCTGGTGTAGTGGAGGGTTTCCCTGCCCATGGCAGGGGGGTTGGAACTAGGTGATCTTTGAGGTCCCTTCCAACCCTAACCATTCCATGATTCTATGAATGCAACTTTAAAAAAAACCTCTGTTTTTTCCAGCTTGCCCTCAGGGCAACACATATTTGCTAAGAAACTATCGTTCTACTGCTCCTTGTTCCCTTACAGGTTTCAAATTTGCTGTAGAACATCTTCCAGAACTTTCAGAATTTAAGACAGTAGGAAGATAAAAATCTCTGTATCAGACTTTAAACCTAAGATGTTGGGGTTTTAATGCCCTGAAGCTATAGGTAAAATGGGATTGAAAGGTTCTATGAAAAAACTTCCGCAGATGTGAAAGTGCTAAATGTTCTCATGGTTAAATCCTTATCCTTAGTTCCCTGACCTCAGAAATCAGCATTAGAAGAAAGTTGAATTTTGCTGCATGCAAAAGATACAAGAAAAGTGCTACTGTTTGTTCAAATCTTCCGTCAACATTGACATCTGAAAAACACTCCAACTTGCATGCAAAATAAGCTCATCTAACAAGGCAGTAAAAACAAAAGACATGAAGAATATGGCACTTCAGTTTGGATTTATCTTTTCAGGTTGTAAACTTAAGATTAAAAACTATAATTATGAGTCCTTTGTCTGTTTGAGTGTAAGAATGTCTTTGGTTTTGGTAACTGGTATGGGTTATTAAAGTCATATTGAAAAGACGACAATAAATTTTTCCTAGCAATTTTCAAAACAGATCCCTTAAACATCACTCATGTCTCTGTTTCCTCCTATTCATCCAGATCATATTGAGCTGATTTAAATCTACAGGAAAATGGAATAGGATGCAGAAGATACTAAAAAAACAAAAACAAAAAAACAAAAAACCACACCCCCCCTCCCCTCTCTAAAAAAAAAGACGACAAACCGAAACTATCAAATAATTGATAACTGTATGACAACTTCCTTTTTTTGTTAATTAGCTACAGTGAATGTTTTTTATATAGCTTATTTTAGGGAAAAACTTAGCTCAGTCAGTAATAAACTTAAAAAGTAAAACCATGCAGGCTTTTTTCACTAGGACAATGGAGTATAATGATACTGACTTTTGAAGGAGACGGAATAAAGATAGAACGTGATGGGAGTCAGATTAATCCTTCCTTTCTGAACGGAGCTTGCACAGTATATGGTTATGATGGGTCTCCTTGGTATTCATAGCTCGATAGCCCTCAACTTCAGGGAATGTACTTGTGATAAAGTCAAGACACTCAGACTGTGATTGTCATAACCTAAGATGTTGTCACAGAAATGTATTTTAATAGTACATTTTTGTTAGAAATACAAAAATATAGAACTGATACGAGGAAATATTGAGGAGAAAAATTTGGTTTATCTTATTTATTACCAGGTATGAAGTTCAAAGGTCTCTCTTTCTGAAGTGATCTGTATGTTTGTATTCAAATTTTACTTCTACCAAAATACTTGCCATGTAGTGATTTCTTCTGCGTGATTTTAAATATATTCATTTTTACCTTTTAACTGAGATTGTAGCTATACATAGGTATGAATATTGCATATAATTCAAAATGAGATTATGGAAATTACTTCTATTTTTTTTCTTTTCTAGTGGTTAAAAAGGTAGTTATTTTTAGCCCTTCACATAAGTCCATAGATAGAATATCTAATGGACTAGTATCTAATACCAATAGAGCATAGCTATTATTGTAATTTACTTGGTGGTTAAACAGTTTATGGACCATATAAAAATAATTTATGAATAACATGTAAAGCCAGAATAAAGCTTTGTTGCCATGATATATATACATTATTACACTGTCTATCTGCTGCTCTTTTAATCCTAGAAAATAA